TGAAGGGGAAACGTGAGACGAGTTTACCCAGGTCCAGGCCCTCCTTATAAGGTAAAACCCTACTCCTGCTCTATGTATATTGTGATTGGGGTGTACAAAATACATATATAACCAAAAGATTGTATGATGATCTATCAAGTAGCTTAGCCTCTTATATAACATACGGGGCACCTAGGGTTACGCAACCTAGCCAGCTACGTTGGTGGAGGGGGGGGGGGGTCCTCCATGGCTTGTGCTTCCTTGTTTTGAATGGAAAGGCTTCTAGAGTCTTCTTCTTCAAGACGGAACCGACCTAGGGGGCCTTGGGCCGGCCTACTGGGGCCAATAACCAGCAAGGTGAGGCACCCCTGAGCTGTAACACCGCACAATACAAACACGAGCAAGGGTAGATTAAAACTATCGTGATGGCCTGATTACTGAATCTAGGTAAATTCGGTCTCTTGTTTCCCCTCCGATCTATTCACTTAGCCGGGATACCCTATCAAAGGATCTGCCGGATTCTCTACTCTGACATTTACGTTATTTTTAACTAATATAGATGAATAAAACAAACCATGTGTATAAAAAAACAAATCATGGTAATCTATTCTATACTCCACCAAAGTAAGAACACTTGACGACTTTCATCGAAGGAAATTTTGACTACTTCCCATATTATCCAGATTTCACCTTTTTCTCACACCGACTTAAATTTTTATTCAGAGTTCATCTTTGATTGCAAGTAATCATGACAAAGTCCACCACCGAGTATCATATTGATGAAGTCGAGGTCAACTTGCATGGCCAGGAAGGGAGGCGGCAGCAACTCAGAAAGATTCGGTTGTTATTGGACGCGTTAGCACTGAAAAAATGCAAAGAATGCGTTGCAACAGGAACGGCGAAGTCAGTAGCCACTCACCATTAGTGGCTGGCGGATAAAGGATAATAGCCTACACCATTTGCCTGGACTGCACCTAAGAAACTTTTGCATAGTCGACCACACCCAACTAGTGAAAGAAAATAGTATTCTTCCTCCGAGCAACTGTGCTTAATGCAATGGCAAGTCCAGTAGGTACCTGCTGTTAGTGGCACATGGGTCAGAGTCTACAATACCTGTCCTGAATAAACATAAGAACCTATTGCACATTTGCAATCAGTAGGAACTTGACCAGATACCAGAGAAGCATTAAGTGATATTCAAAACTGTCTCCAATTGTAGAGAAAATTCGGATACAACTTTGTCGGTCATATGCGCATGCAAGATGCTGCCCCGCATATAACTACATGTATAAATGTATTAATATTGGAAATCCAACAAATCTTACAGGACGAGAAAGAGAAATATGGCCGGGGGCAATTCAGAACTCCAGTGCTCCACCTCCAAAAGGATGATATGCCTGGCCAAATGGGCACTAGCTCTACAATTTCACATAAGTTAGCACGTTTCACCGGGCATAAGAATATATAGAACCCAACTAGTCACCAGTTTGTTCAGACAAATAGACTAGTGGCTGGGAATTCAAGCATTTGACCTGTAAAGGAGCATCTAAAATCAGCCAAATCCACAAGAAGCTGGTCCATCTTTGCAGAACCAATATAGATAGTTCTTTCATCATTCTTCACCATGAAGATGCATGGGTCCTCATGTCATCATAAGAGCAAACAATGTCTCTCTCAAAAAAAAATAGGAAAAAGAAGAGTGAACAAAAGAAAAACCTTATTCATGCTATACAAAAGAAGCGATTGATTTGTAGCCACCCTCGTTGATGTGGCTGGCTAGAGAGCTGTCACCTGTCTTCACTATCTTGCCACTTTCCTGTAAGTTACCAATCAGAAGCATTATCAATGACAGCACATGCCCTTCATTGAAGAATTTTAAATCGTTGACATACTCACAACACTGTTCCTACATTCTACAAGATTAGGACGGAAAAAGTACAAAGATTGACAAAGATGCAAATGATATTTTGATTATCAGCAAGTGCTGCCATGGGGTTGAATGCTAGATTGAGAAACAGTTACTTTCAGATGTGTACAACCTGGTGAGACCATAGGTCTTCACCACCGGATTAAATAACACTATACATAAAAGGTTAGGCCACACAAGTTCCGTCACCTCTTTGGCAGTACTCTAAAGATGCCCAAAACAGAAAATTATCAGCCAATTCTGGGTCCAAATGAATCTTTCTTGAAACAAAATAGAGGAATGCTTAAGGCTCAGTCTTTGTGTTAAACTTATTTTACAATCAGCTGTGGGAAAACAGCCATGAAAGCAGGCAAGAGTTGGTTACCAAACAGAAAAATACCAATTCCGAGTCCAAACGAAATCTTTCTTGAAACAAGATAGAGGAATGCTAAGGCTGAGTTTGCGGTTGTTGTACAATGTTCTGCTGAACTTACTTTATAATCTGCTGTGGGAAACAGCCATGAAAGCAGGCAAAATTTTGTCACCCAGACAGAAAAAATAGGCAAAAGCTGGTTGGAAAATCTGGACAATCATAATCCACCTCAATGCCAAACACAGCCTAAATTAGATGCATTTGAACACACAAAGGTGCTATCAAGTACCTAAACTCTACAAAACAAGTATGCTTGTGAGCTTACCATGATGTGAACATAGCTTGGCTTAATAAGATCCAAAAGACGTTGGTAATGCGTAATCATCAGAACGGAGTTTTGGGGAGTCAAGAGCCCATTCACTGCATGAGCTACATCTTCGAGTGCATCAACATCTAATCCAGAATCGATTTCATCGAGGAGGGCTAAATCAGCCCCAAGGACCTAATTCACAAACTATGAATCAGAGGTGGAAATTTATTGATGTGGATAAATAAAGATTCCTGGTAAGAATGTTCAACAAGCATTCTCTGTGTCAAAGAATGTATGCTTTAGACCTATGCAATTAAATTTGCTGATAATGTTTTGTAACAAACATATACCTAACAAGTTTCAACAAAACAAGGAGATTGGCATGCTGCATACAATAATGAATATATAATACAAAATTAAAACAATAAAGTGAACACGATGATGGTCATCATTTAAGGAAAGAAATGCCTAATGAATCTCAAATGCATACACACCACTGATAGGTCTCGGCATCAGATTAAGCTTCATGTAGAACATGTTCAGAGCTGAAAATGTATGGAGACACAAAAAGGCTGGAAAAGAAACCTAGAATGAATTCGTTGGATATGGGAAAACATGGAAGTTTAACTCAATGGTTCATTGCAGCAAAGAAGAGACTGCAGGTAAGCCAACAGATTTATTTTCCGAAGATCCTTAAAAATTAACTCCATACAGCTTTGAGATATTATGCCTGTATATGGTTTAATTTGTAGCAATATGGCCATCCTTGGATACCAAGTATTTGTGGAACTATGAACTGGTATTATGGTGGTATAACATGCTGTATTGGCATTATAATCAGTCCAGCAAATCAGACAGGAACTGCTATTCATGATCCTCTTATCAGATAGACTGGTTGAACTCTCTAATTTGCATATGTGAAACAAGGCATCTAATCTTTCGAAGTTCATTTGGTCTGGTTTAGCATTTGGTGAACTAAAAAACTTGCTAGTTCAGGTTTTATTAACTGTCAGCAACTACTTGGCCTAACAGTTACTTTTTTCAACAACATACTGTATTGAATATTGCAATCTCAAATACTTCTATTTTTGTTAATCTGCGGAAAAAATTGTACAGGAAACCTGCAGTATCTAATAGGTGATACAATGGTACCACATAAGTGATGTAACAGCCAAATTAGGGTGTCTGATAGCCCATAGTAATCTTACAGAAAGTTGCAGTATCTCATTGCGCTTCCTTTCTCCACCACTAAATCCTTCGTTTACATTACGATCAAGGATCTTTGGCTCCATCTTTAAGGCCTCGACTTTTTGTGATACAACAGAATAGAACTGCATGATAAAGCAAAATATACGTCAGAGTTTGTACTTATCATAGAAACTAGTTAGCAACATACAACACCGTATTATTCTCTAAGTATGCTAAGTATAAAAAGATTGATGGCTATACAATAACATAATATTCAAACCTCAAGAGGTCCCAAAGCTGGCAGACCATCCTTCTCTCTGCGAGCATTTATTGCCATGAGCAGAAAATCATAATTGCTCACTCCAGGAATTTCAATAGGCGCTTGGAAGCTCATAAAGAGGCCTGCAAGAGATCTCTCCTCTGGCTCCATGTCAATTAAGTTCTCACCCTTGAAGAGAATGGTACCACCAGTTACCTCGTAGTGTGGATGGCCAACAAGAACCTGTAACAAACAGACAGAACACTCAACTGAATGTCTAGATATGAGAGCCAGAACAAGGTCAATTACGCATGGTTTAATCAGGACACCTTGGAGATGAAACAAGGCAAGGAGTTGAATTAAGTTGCACAATTATGATGGCTGAACTTCTCACAGAATTCGCAATGCTCGCATTACATAAGAACGCTCGTCGAATACTTATGGGGTTGATCTCCACAGGTCCTACAAGTTTAAGACCACAAGCTTAACTATACTTCACTGGCTGTGTTTTTTAACCCGGGCCTTAACTTACAAGGGTACTTCAAAACTTCTTGTGTAAGTGGTACATCCGGTAGGTTATTTTAGCAACAAAATGAGCACCAGCATTTCCTTTAACAATTTGGAGTTCACATGATGCCAAAACAAACTTGGTTGCATGGTTCATTAAAATATTTTCAAAATACAAGCTGCAAAACAAGTACTGAGCATACCATGTTCAAGTGCCATTTGCATTGTTTGCCTGGAGTAGTTTGAAGGAAGCTTTGAACTGCAAACAAGTCCCTGGTTCACCCAAAAGGGGTCAAATGAATCTGCTTTACTGCAGTGTTTTTGTCTTTATGGCCTATTCTCAGCAAGATGGTCACTTAAGGGAAGTTGTTGTGACATCTTGCTGGTGCTTTCTACAAATAATTTTCTCTTTGCAGCAACAGGGAACATTGTTGAAGGAAGGGAGTTAGACTGTTAGGGGAGCAACAGATGGTGGACATGGCGGTCAGAAGAATCAGGTGATAGCCCGAGGTCCTAACAGAAAACAAGTTAACCAAAAGGAACCATGCCACATATAAGGTTAGAACCTTTATGCGTTCTTATAACAGATCTTGGTAGTCTTTTGTTGCTCTCTGTAAGAATTTAAGATGATCTGTTATACTCCCTCCGGTCCTTTTTAGTTCGCATATAAGATTTGACTGAAGTCGAGCCTCGTAAAGTTTGACCAACTTCATTGAAAAAAGTACCAACATTCACAATCTGAAATCAATATCAATAGATGTGTCATGACTTAAAGTTTCATATTGTATAACTTTAGCATGACAGATGTTGATTATTTTTCATATAAATACGGTCAAACTTTGTGAAGTTTGACTTCAGAGAATTCTAATATGCAGAGTAAAAAGGACCGGAGGGAGTACAAACTTTGTATGTCATTGTCGAAAAAAGCTCTATTATGTTCATATGTTTTAGCAGGGGTGTTACTTCAAGTGATTGGTGGATGCTGTTTTATATGTCGCTCACTGTTAACTGGAATACCCAGCTCTTTCTAGCCTTAATTTCTTCAGGATTTGGTCCCTAAGGGGTTGCACGAAACTAGGCTCATGTATGCACCAAACATCCAAACAAGAGACATAAAAGGCATAACTCTGGCAACAAAATCACCTCGTCCATCATGGTTTTGTACTCCCTCCGTTCGGAATTACTTGTCGCAGAAATGGATGTATATAGATGTATTTTAGTTCTAGATACATCCATATCCGAGACAAGTAATTCCGAACGGAGGGAGTACATCACTAGATGATCCATCAAATTTGGTTGAACGACCCAATTCTTCATTTCGTACTTGGCTTATGAAGGACGAGCTGGTGATGGGCTAAATCCATTCGATTCATTAAACCAAGCAAGTGACCTAAGATTGTATGGATCATTCACCATTTTAATATTTGATTCCTCAAACCAAGTAACACCTAAGATTCCAATCACAGTTGTCATACTAGAGAAGGCACGTGTAACTTAAATGGCATCGAAATAGGTAAGCACACAAATTGAATATTGATTCTAATATATCCTGGACACTAAATTGAACTCTTGATTTTGTCATTTCGATCCTCTCCACCTCTTGATCTCCATTTCTCAGAGACATCTCAAACAGGCACATAAATGTACGCAGGCAACAATTTCTCAGTGGTTTTCGTAGTAACAATCGAGACAAATTTGGACGGGTGAGCTGTAGGACCTAACCTTTGTGAGGGTGCTCTTGCCGGAGCCGTTCTTCCCCATGATCGCATGAACCTATTATCACACGCAGACAAACCCAACACAAGTCAACACACCAACCCTTGCAGACCCAATCAAGCACTTCACCAAACGAGCCGCTAGTTCTTCCAACCCAACACGAACCTCGCCCTCGCGGATGGTGAGGTCGACGCCTTTTAGGATCTGCTGCCCATTCTCCTTGACGGAGGCGGTAAGCCCGTGTACCTCGAGAAGGAGCTTCCCAGCGGACTCGGTCGCCGCGGCGGAGGCCACAGCCGAGCGGTGCCGTGGCCGCACGGAGATAGAACGCAGCAGCGGGTGGCGGCGGAGGATGGGGCGGGATGATGAGGAGGAAAAGAGAGGGGATGAGGAGGAAACGGCGGCGACGGCGACGGCGAACGGCGGCGCCATGGGAAGGTCAGGGAGGAGGCAGCAGGTGCGCGCCTCAAGATGCTTCGTTCGCGGCGGGTTCGGATGACGACGGGGTCAGTAGTGGGCCAGCGGCGTCGTATTGCAGTTGCGTATTTGCCGTCCTCGCTATCGGGGTAGAGTGCTATTATCCCACGGGCCACTTTGTGCCGGCCTGTTCGCACCCCACGGTACAAACCCGAATTACGTGATTCCCTAAAAAAAAAAAGTGATTCTGATCGCGTTTCGTTATTCCGGTACACCGAAATTATTATTTTTTATTGAAAAGGAGGTTGAAACCCCGCGGTTCTACATCATTGTGATGCACATGTCAATCTTTATCTTTACCTAATAATAATAATTTTGAGACAATTTGCAAAGCTTTATTACGTCGTCACCAGTTAGACCAGGACGAAAGAGAGGTTTACGGGGTGACCTAACCACACACGGCGCCGACCCCAAGTTTCAATGCATGCTTTGCTAAATTATGAGCCTCCACATTGGAGCTCCTAAACTCACGAACGAAATTATAAGAATGAAAACTACTAGAGTAGTCTATGATTTCATGCACGATCGCTCCGTATTCTGCTTTGGTCTTCCCCTTAATACTGTTTATCACCTCCTTGTAGTCGGAGGCTATATGGATCGACTGAAGATGGAGATCTTCCGACAGTGCCAACGCCTCCTTCACTGCCAAAGTTTCTAAGGTTGTAGGGTTGGTGATAGCTGTGAAGCCCAGTGTTGACGCCCCCAAGAACGCTCCGGACTCATCTCTGGCTATTGCTGCAATGGTTCCTACTCCCCACCTCTCTGCAACCGCTGCATCGACATTGATCTTCGACATATTGTGCGGCGGCTTCTGCCATTGCTTCGGTCTCTGTGTCTGATTGGGGGTTCTCATCGTCGGAACCTTTGACTGGGACTGGAACTTGGCGATATATCGTTGGATGAATAGATGTGTAGACAAAGGAGATTGGTGGATATCCTTATAGACCGCTTTCCTCTTTGCACTCCAAACAGCCTATAGGGTGACTGCCATCAACATAAATTGATGCGGGTTCAGAGCTTCGTTCAGGGCGAACAGCCACTGCCGTGGGTCAACATTGCTATGTTGGCACATCTTCTCTACTAATTCCTCGTCCAATAAAGCCCATGTACAACGGGCGTTAGTGCAGTCCAACATCGTATGCCGCCAAGAATCCCGAGCGCCACAGAGCTTGCATGCTTCGGAAATGCTCATATTTCTGTGTACAAGAACATCTACGGTCGGGATCGAACTTCTTGCCAGTATCCACAGAAAGAGTTTGATCTTTGGTGGTAGCTCCACTTCCCATAGGGACGACCACGAACTGATGTCACTCCCAGCCCCCGAAGTTCCCTCCTCCTCGTCTATCCACCATTCCCTCACGATCTTTGTATGCATTATCAGCCTGTACGCCGATCTAACTGAAAAGTCACCCTTCTTCTCAGCACTCCATGCCCAGAAGTCAGAGATGTTTCTTGTGCAAAGGGGTATGCTCAATATTGCCTCAACATCAATTGGTAAAAAAACCGATCGGACTAGTGCATCATTCCATGTGGCAGTTGCAATGGTGATGTGACGCCTCTGATTTGACCATACACTAATCATACACGCAAATGTGTACGACCAGGATCATGGACTCACGGAAAGATATCACAACACAACTCTAGACACAAATGGAAATAATACAAGCTTTATATTACAAGCCAGGGGCCTCGAGGGCTCGAATACATAACCTCGAAAACACAAGAGTCAGCAGAAGCAATAATATCTGAGTACAGATATAAGTTAAACAAGTTTTGCCTTAAGAAGGCTAGCACAAAAGTAGAAACGATCGAAAAGGCAAGGCCTCCTGCCTGGGACCTCCTAACTACTCCTCGAAGCCGAACTCCACGTAGAAACATCCTCGGGATCCTCTGGCTCCTGGACTTCATCATTTGGTTGCGGCATCCGAAAAGAAAGGAAAAGGGGGAAAAGAGGAAGCAAAGCAACCGTGAGTACTCATCCAAAGTACTCGCAAGCAAGGATCTACACTACATATGCATTGGTATCAAATGGAAAAGGGTAGTATATGTGGACTGAACTGCAGAATGCCAGAATAAGAGGGGGATAGCTAGTCCTATCGAAGACTACGCTTCTGGCAGCCTCCATCTTGAAGCATGTAGAAGAGAGTAGATGGTAAGTTCACCAAGTAGCATCGTATAGCATAATCCTACCCGGCAATCCTCCCCTCGTCGCCTTGTGTGAGAGAGAGATCACTGGGTTGTATCTGGCACTTGAAAGGGTGTGTTTTATTAAGTATCCGGTTCTAGTTGTCATAAGGTCAAGGTACAACTTCGGGTCGTCCTTTTACCGAGGGACACGACTATTCGAATAGATAAACTTCCCTGCAGGGGTGCACCACATAACCCAACACGCTCGATCCCCTTTGGCCGGACACACTTTCCTGGGTCATGCCCGGCCTCGGAAGATCAACACATCGCATCCCCACCTAGGCACAACAGAGAGGTCAGCACACCTGTCTAAACCTATGACGCAGGGGTCTGGGCCCATCGCCCATTGCACACCTGCATGTTACGAACGTGACCGGAAGCAAACCTAGCCTCCCTAATACAAGAGCAAGCGTTCCAGTCCAATCCGGCACGCGCCGGTCAGTCGCTAACGTCAAGAAGGCTTCGGCTGATACCACGACGTTGAGTGCCCATAACTGTTCCCGCGTAGTTGGTTAGTGCATATATGTCAGTGGCCAGACTCAGATCAAATACCCAGATCTCGTTAAGCGTGATAATTGAATTAACCGCGGACGCCGACCAGGGCTAGGCACACCTCTCTCCTGGGTGGTCTCAACCTGCCATGTTGCTCCGCCACAAAGGTTCACTCAGAGGGCCGTCAGGACAAACGTCCTTTCGGACCCAATCCGTGAATCACTCACGGATACTCTATGAGCCGACCCGACTTTAGTCACCACAAATATCTTATATTATGTATATAAGCATATACCCGTGATCACCTCCCGAGTGATCACGGCCTGATAATATAGCATGGCAGACGGACAAGAATGTAGGGTCACTGATGGAATACTAGCATCCTATACAAAGCATTTAGGATTGCAAGTAAAGGTAATAATAGTGATAGCAAGGACAAGCTATGCATCAGAATAGGATTAACGGAAAGCAGGAACATGCTACGCTACTCTAATGCAAGCAGTAGAGAGAAGAATAGGCGATATCTGGTGATAAGGGAGGGGGGCTTGCCTGTAAGCTTAGTCGAGGAGGGGTCGTCAACACCTTAGTCGAACTGGGGTCGCCGGTAGTCTCGAGGTCTACCGGAAAGAAGTAACGGAGAGGGAACACAATAAATAACAGAGCAAGCAAAGCATCACAAAGCGTAACATGGCAAAATGCGGTGCTAGATGTGACATAACGCAGAGATAGGTGATACCGGCAAAGGGCGAAAAACATCCGCGTAAGTATTCCCGGTGTTTGACATTTTCGGGCAGATGAAACGGAAGGGGATTGTTGCATGTTTGCTATGCTAGAGATGTGTGGCAGACGAACGGACCGCGTATTCGGATTCGCCTCGTCGTTCTAAGTGACTTTCATGTACAAAGTATTTTCATCCGAATTATAGATTATTCTATATTAATTTTCAAAGTTTTAAATGATTTTCTAATTTATTGGATCTAATTTAAATCAAAAAATAATATATACTAACTGTTGTGGGTACACAGAGAAGTGTACCCAGGGGGTGTAATGTGTGGCTGACAGTGGGCCAGGATCAAAGTCAACAGTACCAAGTCAACAGTTGACTTAGTCAGCATTGACTGGTCCACATGGTCAAATGGCCCCGCATGTCATGGATTAATTACCTGGACAAATTTATTAATCTAGTCATTATAGTAGCGGGGCCCAATGTCATTGATACAGTAGGCTAACTACACTAAAATTATGCCCTGACTAATTAAATCTTAAGGCAATTAAGCAGGCCAGCCGCACATGCCAAGGCATAGCCGTGCCTCACACACGTGTACGCACATGGTGGCCATGGCCATGGCACAAGAGGTGGTACCGGAGTGGCTAAGAGATGCGTGAGTCGGTGAGTGGCCAGGGGCTCACACGGAGCAGCAAGCAAAAAGCATCAGCAGTCAATTGAGCAGCGGCGGCGGCGGCAACAGAGCAAGCACAAAGCAGCCGGCGACGAGCAGTAGCATTAGAGAGCAGCAACAACAACATGTAGCAGCAGTGGGAGGCTTCAGCAGAGAGCAGCAACGCTACCAGCGGCTGCAAGCAGGGCAGAGCGGACGGGCACGGCCAGCATGCTGGTCGGGCGGTAGGGGGCGCGCACGTGCGTGACACGGCCAGGGCGTTGGGTTGGGCGCCCACGCGAGCAGAGCTCCGGCCGCAGCCACGGCGGAGTGTCGGACGCGGTGGAACCAGCGGCTAGAGGACGGGAACGAGAAGGGGGGCAAGGGGAAAATGACGGCAAGCTCACAGCGTTGACGAGCAGCTCGGTGAAGCCGAAGAAGGTCGAGGGCGAGTGAATCGAGCGGATCTTCGTGGCCGCCGTGGCAGAGGAAGAAGACACGACGTCTATGGGGCAGCTTCCCGGGCTCGATCTGGTGGCTCCGGCGATGAATGCGAAGGCGGAGTGCTCCTGGACACGCTAACCCAGCGCGGCGACGACGGGGAGCACGGGAACGGCGGGGGTCATGGCGACGGCGGCTGCGGTTGCGGGCGGGATCGACGAGGGAGAGAGCGAGGGGGGATGCGTATCTAGGATTTGTCCGTGAGGCGAGGGGTGGCCTTATCCACCGCCGGGGCACGCGGGATGGCCGCATGTGGCTGGGGGGAACGGCCATGGCCGCGGGATGGCCGCCACGCCCTCCTCGTCTCCTGTAGCGCTAGCTGGGAGATGAGGGGAGGTGGGTTGGGCCTCCCAGCCCCTCTTGGGCCTCTCTCTCTCTCTCTCTCTCTCTCTCTCT